ATGCAAATCATGGTCTACAGAACGCATGCAGCAGAGGCTCATGGTGCAGCGGATGTTTCAGTGAGGATTTCCTGCCCTCTTCTGCCTCCCAATAGTATTACTGATGGGACTGGAAAAACAGGAGCTTTAGGTCATATTAGTCGTTCCCTTTGAGCAAACAAAGGCACTGCCAAAGAGAGCAAATCTAGATAGAAATCAGCTGTTTAATCTAGGAGCTGTCTGACAAAGGATTGAAATACTAACAGGTAAATATTTGCTTTCAAGCCACCCAAGAACAGTCAAAACTCTGATTGGATTTGGATATTACTTAGTCAGTTATTTAAATCAGTGACTGAATTAAGCTTTCAAAACACAACAATTGTGATTTTTTTTAATTTCTCTGTTGATTATAAACTTTGTCAAACATGTACAAAGAATAATAAGCACTGATTAACAAAAACACACAAAATCTCAGACATGTTTGATTAAAATGCACACAAAGGTAAGAAGCAATGGAGCAGGAAAATGTTGTTGCATTGTTGTGCATTAACAATCTGTCATTTGAGCTGACCCTCTCCACTCTGTAGTTCAAACAGATCTATGTAGGCTAATACTACATATTGTATTATTTCCCTGTGAGTTTTGACAGATTAAACATGCACAAAATGCAAGACCAACATAATGGAAAAACAAAAACTGAAAAAGAAGGGAAGGAAATAAAGAAACAAAAGAAGCTAGTTTGATGGAGTGACTTGTCCAGTTGTGTTCACTGGGGTTTGATCAACGTCAGGAGAAAGCCAGAAAACCCAGAGTCAGACAGCTGGGGGCAGACTGGTCAGGTAGGTGTGACAGTGCAGTGGTGAGGGGTGTGGCCGCCAATTAGAGAAAAGGACATGAATATAGTAGTACTTTAATACCACTACCTCTGCTGCATGATTGTTCATTACTTACTGAAAGCCCCAGGTATTTTCTTTACATATAGTAAATAAAGTATCCCATTGTTAAAATAATCAATGTGAGGTCTACTGTGGACTAATTTTATAAATAGATGACCACGGATGTAAATGACATGCCATTCATAGAATAGAAAATGAAAACACCAGGTTAAATAAGGTCATTTTTCTTTTGGGTAAACAGTACAATACACACAACAAGTGAAAGTACCAGACTCTAGTGTTAATGAATTGGCACTTAGCTAATGGTATGTCACGACCAAACCACAGAAGATGGGGGTGTGATTTCCAACACTGTCATGACAGGTCCCATACCAAAAATACCACAAAATGATTCAAAAATATCACTGAGGCACAGAAACCCCAGGCATATTCCTTTTTAATAGTAATATGGAAATGAGAAGTTCTTGAAAAATGATTCGGTTTCTCGTGTAAAAAGCAATAACTCCTCTTTTTATTTCTATTATGTTTAGCCATTAAGAGGTCTGGAGCTTTTGGTGGTTTTGGCTCATCTTACCTGCCACCCTCTCGTCCGACTCCCTGTTACCGTCGTCTGAGTAACGGGCAAAGTCCAAAGAGTCCAAGGTGCTGATGCTGCCCGCTCGATCTGCACAAACATAAAATGCATCAATATAAGCATCATATTATTTACAGTTTATTACATCATTATGGCAGTGAGGTAATAGAAGAGCTCAGACTATATCCAAGTGCAATCCAGCATGTTATGTTTGCTCGAAGGCAATATGTTAATTGTGCGTTCAAGAGAGTGAAACATTTGAGACATTTGACAAAAATCCAAACAGGTTTGCACAGGAGGTGATCATCACACATTACTGTTCACCACCACAAATAAGACAGATGCTACGGCTGGTAGCTCTGGATCATGTTTGTTCCTCTACACTTGATACTTTGTCTTGTTTTATAAGCTTGGCCAAAGCAATGTTGCCACTGCTACAGCATATGCAATCACAAATCCTCATATCACAATGCCATTTAATTAAAAACTTAGTTCTTACGAGTAATCCCAATAGGAATTCTTTGTTCAAGCTGACACAACTAATGCTCCTATTACATTGAGCTCAGCTGCCCTGAAAACTAAGCCAGTGGTGTTCGCTTTCCCCAGGTGCAAAACAAGCGGTAGATCGGCCTGTTTACTTTTTGATATCTCGATAAGGTGGAGGTCATAGAGGATAAAGTTCATCGTTAGCATTAAAACCTAACATTACTTTTCAGCAAATTCACAAGTTGAAATTCCTTCTATGTTACTCTTTCATATATAAACTGTGAACAACACAGTTTTGCATAGATACAAAATGATGATACCATTCAAATCAATGACTACTGAGATGTTTACATGTTGAACCCGTCACTGACGACTTTGACATGTTTTGTTTTATGTAACTATATACTGGTAACTAATCTCTTTATGCAAGAATAAACAAGAATCCCCAGCCTGGAATAAGAGTGACCATATGAAAGAGGTGTGTGAGCAAATTGACCTTTTAGCACAACGCCCCTGGAGCAAACTGTCCAGACTGATAAATGTGACCTGAGACCTTCATCCATCCGTTGTGACTAAAGAACCGCAACTAATAATTAAAAAAATTATTTAAAGTGTAAATGACAATGCTTTGCATGATATAATGCAGTAACTGTGGGCTTTTTGGATCTCTAATAATGTAAGCATTACATAATTACGTAATGTAATCAGTCATACACAGCATCAGTCCAGTTTTAAGTAAATGACTGCTTTTCACATGATGGGAGTAATGAAGCACCTGACTTATCACTGTGAAGGGCAGTGAACTCATAAGTTTGAGCTGTGATTTACAGGGGTGATGGTGGGAGGGGTCCTGCTTTAAACAACTGATCAAAATAATTAGACAATGACAGATGGCATTGAAAATATGTTTGGATTAATAGATAAAACTGTGATCAACAGGTCAAAATGCCAGAGTTTTCTTTATTTGTATTACAAGTGCAACTAATCACTTTTTCATGCTACAAGAACGTTGATCACATGATGGGTGTATTTGCTATCAAAATAGGCAGGGAAAAACCAGCATGACCCTTGATATGGTCAGTTACTGTGTCTGCTTATTTTTATTTGATACAACAGATACCCTTTGACTTGTAATAGCAGCATATACAGCCAATATTACTATGCCACACTGTGTTATGGTTTATAAGTTTATAATAATGTAAACAGTATTTGCTTTATTTGCTGGACTTTAATTTGGTTAGACAATTGATTCACTGACTGTGACTTGCTGCCATTTGCTAAATGCTAGTGCTAGCCTCAGGCGGGTTTCCAGGGCTTCACACTCAAGACTCCACTAATATCTCTGGAGACATGAAGTCAGTGATGTGGTATCTAATTAAAAAGAGCAATAATTAGGTGCAATAAAAACATACATTATCCTTATTCAATCATCCATATCATGTACTAAATGTTTATAAACAGCAACAGAAAAAATATACAAAATAATACAAAATTAGCTGTAGATAATAATCTAAACAGCATCCTTACTTTTTTGGTTGTTTAGTAGGAGAAGAAAAAATACCAGCCATTGACAATTACACACCAATGAATGATGTGGCGCAGAGTTCAAGTAATGCATTACTAATTATTATTTTAGTCAGTACAATAATAGTATCTGTCCTGCCAACACTTAGTAATACACATCTGATAACAAACCCAGAAGGAAATTGTCTAATTTTGAAGAAGGCCTACCCAGTGGTTATCTGTGGTAGAAAAAGTGAAAACATATTTTAAACCAATGTGTGAGTGTAAATGTGTGTGTCTGAAAGACATTTAGAGAGATTCCTCCATGGAGTTGTTCTCGTCATCTTTGATCAACCTCTTGAGCATAATGTATAAGGAAGCTGTGCCTACATCACAAGGATAAATTATTAATGGAGGGTTGCTTAAGTCTATTGTATTGTAATGCCAGGGATTCCTTAGATTAAAGAAGACAAAGTGGACACTGGGCTGTGTGACATCTGACCCGCAAACCCGCCTGTTGGCTGCGGGCCTCAGATCAGGAGGAGGCCAGGTGCAGCAGGCGGATATATCCAGATCGATTATTTTACAGAGGCAGTCTGAAGAGCTAGCATCACCTAGCTACAGAGCTAATGAGCATCACCAACATGACAGACAGTAGCCATACGCTGGACAGGCAGGCCTCCGTTACTGGTACTTACTCAGAGGTCCTCCAGGTCCCAGAGCCTGGTCTTTGGCTGGAGGAGTGCCGCTTTGGCGCTCGAAGTTGCCAGGATTGGAGAAATAATCTCTTAGCCTTGGAAGCTCCCTGCCCGCCTCCAGCAGTTCTGTGTGCAGCTCTAGGGCTGTGAGGATGTACTGGTCCCGCAAAAGCTGAGCAGCAATAACATCCACTGATATTCGAGTGTCTGCGGAGCCTGCCATAACGGAGGTGGCAGCGGCAGACACCGAGATGCCCTCACCGCCGCTGGGGCTTGTCCGGTTGCTAGACAGCAGCAGCGGCGGAGGCTCGGCGTCCGCAGGAGGCGAGAAAGGGTTTCCCGGTGGCGGTCCTGGGGCTCCATCGCTCGGACTCCTTTCTGTGTCAATTGTTTCATTGGGTCGCCTTTCAGCCTCTTCATCAGAATCACTGAGATTAAATGGGTTGACTGACGCCATTTTTGCACTATAATGAATTTAGCAACACAGGCTATGCTATTCACACCAATTTCTTCCTGAATGGATAGCTAGCCTCGTTCTGGTAGGTAGAGATGACAGAGGGAGGAAAACGCAGCTGCCATTGGTCAACGATGATACAATTCTTCCTGTAAGCCCGCCTACTTCACAGAGCATCGCAATTTGATTGGATGGTTTTGACAGATAGTCCAAAATGGGCATGGCATCCCTGACAGCTGTTAAAACGCACCTAAATATATTTTATTAAGTGAACATATCGTAGCTCGTATATGTGGTATGCATTACAGTTATTAATAAATCTTTTGAAACAAACATTGAGCGAGTGATTACGGCAAGCCCATAGGGTAAATCTTAGACCAACTACAAGTCCCATAATGCATTTGGTTTCGAATCGTCACAAGTCAAAGCACAACAAGGAAGTAGCTGCTCATGGCACCTGAATTTCTGGTTTAAGCTTCTTAAATCGGGTTTTGTGAAGCACGCTCCTGCTGTAATCTTGTCGTGCATAAGAAGTCTTTGACCTGTCAGCTTTTAGGTATATCTTTTATAATTGGCGAGGGTACAGAGGACAGTGTGGCGTTAAGATTTACAAATTGAATAGATGTTGTAAAATGTTGTTGCCTTCCTCTTCATTCAAGTTCACGACATCCTTGACTGGATTATCTATAACAGGTAAAACTAGTAGCTGCAAGATGCAACAATCTTTAACTATCCATTGTTTTAACAGATAAGCCAATAGAAGGAAATTAACTTTGTTTATGTTTTAGGGTGAAAAATGAGGATGATCACTTTTCTCCTTATTGGGCTGACAGTCCATGTGGTTTTCTTCTTGTCCATCTTTGACATCTACTTCACATCCCCCTTGGTCCATGGCATGACCCCCCAGGCTACTTTACTTGAACCACCTGCCTCTAGACTGGTTCTCATGGTGGCCGATGGACTCAGGGCAGACAGTCTATTCTCCCTGCTCCCAAATGGTTCATCTAGAGCTCCATATATCAGGTTGTGACTCAGGAAGGTAAATGCATCTCCTTTCCAAGAAGTTATTGTGTAATTAATCATATTTATGTATTGTCTTTTAGGAATATTATAGAAAATAGTGGTACATGGGGTGTGTCACATACACGAGTGCCCACTGAGTCTCGACCTGGCCATGTAGCTCTTATAGCTGGTTTCTATGAAGATGTCAGTGCAGTTGCCAAAGGTTGGTGCATACAAGTGCATTACTTTAAAATACACTTATTTCAGTATAAATTTGTGTGAAAAATCCCGCAGTCGTCCAGGTAGAATCCATGGCAAGTATAAATTATGTTTTGCATGTTTTCAGGTTGGAAGGAAAACCCAGTGGAATTTGACTCTGTGTTTAATGAGAGCAGACACACTTGGAGCTGGGGCAGTCCTGACATCTTGCCAATGTTTGCCAAAGGTGCAAAATATGAACGAATTTAGATAAAGCTGCAATTGTGACTTAAATGGACATTTGTTTTTATAGGTGCCACTGGGAATCATGTTTATACCCACACTTACCCAGCCGTGGAGGAGGACTTTGCTTCTACAGATGCTTCAAATTTGGACAGATGGGTTTTTAACCAAGTAAAAGTAGGACAGCTTCAAAACGTTCACAAACATGTTTTAATATATGCAACTCTATTTAATGTCTTTTTCATTATATTATCCTTCTTACAGTCATTCTTTGATTCTGCCAAATTTAACTCCAGTCTAAATGCCACTTTACATGAGGACAAAAATGTCTTCTTTCTTCATTTGTTGGGTCTTGATACAAATGGACACGCACACCGGCCCATGTCACAGTAAGTTGCGTGATACACTATTTTGTATCTCTGTTTGGAATACAGACACATACACATACACATTTATACCATTACACAATCTGCAATATCTTGATGCTGTTTTTGATATGCTACTAACCAATTATATTTTCTTTATTTTGTTTAGAGAGTATTTGAACAACATAGCTTTAGTAGACACTGGTGTATCTGAGCTAGTGTCTATGGTTGAAGATTTCTTTGGACATGATGGGAAAACAGCTTATGTCTTCACCTCTGATCATGGCATGACTAACTGGGGTAAACGAGCACTCAGTTTTACAAAATTATATGTGATGTTTTTTATGTAATGTTGCCACAATTTTTCTTATTTCTCTATTTTCTTAGGATCACATGGAGCAGGTCACCCCTCTGAGACTCTGACACCTCTGGTCGCTTGGGGAGCAGGAGTGAGTGGCCCCGTCACCGTTACAAAACCACAAACATTCAATGATGGATATTTAAAAGGTAAGATAAACTTAGGGAAGTCAATGTACTTAGAGATTTTTTTTGTTAAGTTATTGCTTCTGTTATCTGTAGATTGGAATTTGGAACATATTCGTAGAGTCGATGTCAATCAGGTAGGGTATGACGGTAATGGTCAAGAATTTATATAATTAACACAATAAATAAATAACATTGTGCATAATGTATAATCGTGTCTTAGTTTGAAATGTTAAAAATCTGGATATTTATGTAGGCTGACATTGCTCCACTTATGGCATCTCTGATTGGTGTTAATTTCCCTGTGAATTCTGTTGTAAGTATAAAAACTATAAACACATAAATTGCAAATTACCCCATTATTTGTTTTTGAAGATATTGGCTTTCTTTAGGGTGTTCTACCTCTTCAGTACCTAAACAACACTAAACGGTTCAAAGCTGAAAGCATGTACACTAATGCCATACAAGTGCTGGAACAATACAAGGTAAAATATCTAGCATACTATAGTAATGAAAAGAACAACTGTAATACTACTATTGAAAATATACATTTTATTTTTGCTGTGCTACAAATTGTCAGGTGAAAATGATCCAGAAGAAGGAGACTACTTTATCTTTGCTATTTACCCCATACCAGTAAGTACAATATTAAGAATCACAGTCAGTGTAGTTATAGTGTATGCTTGCTAATTATTTAATTTTCTTTGTTTCATTAGGCATTTAACAGACTCTGAACAAGCAGAAAGTGTCAACCAGATCAAAATAATGTTTCAACTGGAGAAATTTGAAGATGTTGTGAGTGTTAATTATATAATCATAATGCATAATAACAATAATAATAATTGCATGCCACAAACATTGTTTTGTTTTGTTTTTGTCCCTAGATATCTCTCTGCCAGTCTCTTATCTCTCACTCCCTAAAAGGCCTAACTTACTACCATACGTATGACAGATTCTTCTTGGGTTGTAGTGTGGTGCTTGGTTTTGTAGGCTGGATCAGCTATGTTGTCCTTGTTGTCCTAAAAACCCATGCTAGCCTTAAGAGAAATCCCACTCTCACTAAACAGGTAAATTTAGAAGAGTTTCTATTTGCTTGTAATGTAATGTAACTTCTTATAGTATATTGTGTTTGCAGATACCCAGATTTCATTTGTCAAGGCTTTGCGTTACTGTGGCAATGTTGATTGCCATATTTTATTTATTCAAAGGAGTCCACTGACCTACTATATTTACTGCCTACTACCGGTCCCAGTATGGTATTCTGTTCTAAAGGAGTAAGTACTCAATCAAATCTCAGCAAAAACCTAAAATAACTCACAAGCTCATTATACGGTTGTGGATCATACAGTATGTTGAATAAATGGCAGAAAATATCAATCATCCCATATCACTGCAGCCCATTGCACTAGCTCCCACAATTTCACAGAATGAATTTACCTCAGACATAATTATCTTTGTATGAGCGGTGCAGCTTCAAAGAGCTTAATTAGGTCCTTTCACCTGCTCTTGTTTCCATTCATTCAACAGGTGTAAACATGAACAAAGCGTTTTTGTCTTTCTAAAACCTCATCTTTGTGCTATTATATGTTATGTTTTAGGTTTGGAACCTTGGTGAATTTGGTTCAGTCTGCTCCATCTTTGCCAGTATGGACATGTTTGGGCTATTTTGTGCTAGTGACCTTTGGAATTGAATTACTGGTAAGCGAATATATATTTGGTATTTGTCTTGATAAATGTAATGTTGTTGGATGTGTGTTTAATGGTACTTTACTGCCACCAGGTGGTGAGCTTCTTCCACCGAGCCATGCTGTCAGTTGGCTTAGCTGCTCTCTCAGTCTGGCCCTTCCTCTGTGGTCTTTTTGAAAAGGCCAAGGTAATTATTTTCATATTTCAAAGAATCAGGAAATTCCAGATTTGTAACTATTATATGTTTAATATTAAACCACAGGTCATGTGTAAATATGCAAAGTCAGTCAGTCTCTCAGTTAATTGGTTTCCTTATATACGTAAAAATAATTTCTTGCAAAACTAACTGCCACTTAGGTTCGTTCCGTGTGCTGGTTCCTGAGTTGTCTGTGTCTGGGTATTTTCCCCTTGTTGCCTGTGGTGGGGAGGGAGCCAAATTTGCATTTAGTGTAAGTGCTAATTTATTCTGACATATCATCTATTCTGAATGATCAAATCTACTGCAATCAAACTGCAACTATAATAAAACAAACAGCATTTTGTATTTTTTGTATTAATAATACCTATTTGTATAGCTCTTGTGCAGGTCTTCTTGTCCTTTTTACTTCCTCATGTTTCCTTTGGTCATCACGACACAAAACACCACTGCACCACAGCAATATAAAGCTTCTACTCTTTCAGGTATTTAATGATGACTAAAAGCACTTTTCACAATTTGAACTATGACAGTGTCGAAGCCTGAATTGTGTTTTTGATATGTTTTAGATGATCCACGTGGCTGTTTGTGCATTCGTTCCCTCACTCACACATTCCAGTCTGCAGCAGAAACAGGGTTTGCCACTGCTCAGTCAGATCATCAGTTGGACCACATTAGGTGTGTTTAGTGTTCAGTAGCTTTGACCATCTCTAATAAAAACAACGCATTCAGACTTGAACAAAATTATCAAAAAATCTGATGTTACTCAAAGTGTAGATCTTATCACAGTTATTTAAATTAATTTAGTGCATCTTTGAATTTTTCTCTCAACATTTTAGGTTCTTCCATACTTATTCCACTTCTAAGCTCTACGCGTCTCTTCCATCGTCTCCTCAGTATACTCCTGTCTCTCACAGCCACATACTTACTACTTAGCACAGGGTAAAGTATTACTATACCACTGACTACAAAGTATTACTATACCATTGACTACAAACACAATTCAGTAACATTTTTTTTTTCAGGTCAGAAGCCTTATTTCCTCCAGCTTTATCTTGGCTAATGTTTATATGGATTAACAATGAACAAGAAGCACTACTCGCCCAAGGTGTATCTGGCAGGCAAGAGGTACAATGTCATAATGTCAATGTTAAAAGCCCTCTTTTGTAAAATTATAGTGTTTTATCTCTTTTGTTTTAATAGATCTCAACAATTGATTTTGCTGACAACATTGATATCACCAAAATTCGCCAGCTGAAGTTGGACGACATACGGAGATCTTACTTTTTTGTATCCTTAAAACGACCGTATTTTCCAGTCTATTAGGCGTGCTCTTAAGCCTCCAACCACATCAAAAAATGACCGCGCATCCCGCAATCCAGAGCGCCCTTTACACGAATCCACTCGGGTGTCCCAGCACAACTTCAGTAAACTACAAAGCCGCACCACCAGCAGCGCACGCAAACACGCGCGGAGCAGACAGCAGCCGTGCAGCGAAAAATACCCGCAGCCACGCTCATCACTCCACACGGACAAGGAATGGAACGGAGGAATGGAACGGAGGAATGAACTGAAAAAGCGAGTCCAATGTGCCACTCTGAGCCACAATTGAACAACTGAGTCACTGCGAACACTCCAATAATCCAGCGGTCCCATACAACACCCTCCCTAAGCACCACAATTGAACAAAGCCCAGAGTCACCGTGAATGCGCCAAACAAAGTCCGACTGACGCATCTAACTGTTGTGTTTTCATTTAAAGTCTGGTGCGGTTTATTTGTGAAAAAAGTTCAAAAATAGACCATTCAGTGACAGTGTGCCTTATAATCCAGAGCGCCTAATAGCCTGGAAAATACGGTAGTTGTTGTATAATAAACAAAATATTGTACTAGAGTAAAGATATATTTTATTTGTGATACAGATTTCATCCTTGACCCTGTTTTAAGGTGTTTTTTATCATCACAGCTTTTTTTGGCACAGGAAATATCGCTTCCATTAACAGGTGAAGAGGGGGTTTATCTGGTGCTTTTAAGTGTGGTCACTGACAGGAAGTGAAGCCGTTGAAGTGTAACATTTTTTATTATTTGTGTATATTACCTCACGTACGGTAATTTCATGACCACTTTTCTTCTTTTTATAGTTTTGACCCTGCATCTGTTTACTGTTTCCTCACTGTTTTTAACCCTTTCATCATGGGGGGACTCATGATGTGGAAGGTACATAATTCTTATATGTATAGCCTTTGCAGATTTATGTTTTGATATATTCTGTTACCACATTTACTATTACACCACTATCTCGTTTTGGTCAAAAATATAATATATGTATAATTATGTTGTCTCTTCATAGGTCATTATTCCATTCATCATTGTAATGTGCACATTTGAGACCATTCAAGTAACAACACAGCTTTCCTCAAGAAGGTAACAACACTTGAACAGACTTTGAAGCAATCTGTGAATAGTTATCTGTATCCATCAGTGCTTATTTTTATGTTCAATAATAAACTATAAAACTATTGCTCCCGTGTCTAGTATAAGCACCTTAAAATGTTAATGTACATAAATATATAGTTTAACTACCAATTTCTGGGCTCTGATTTTTTTGTTAACTTCTTAAGTTATTTTATTTCAGTTTGTTCCTCATTGTTCTTGTCATCTCTGATATAATGGCACTGGTAAGACCCTAACTTTATCTTATATTCTGTTACACGGGATTTTATTTTATTTTATTTTATCAACTTATATCTTTTTGTCTCCCCTCAGCATTTCTTCTTCATGGTTCAAGACTATGGCAGTTGGTTAGACATTGGCACAAGGTGAGTTGTGTAACCATTTTGTTAAATTTAATAGGAATATGTTACATATTAATATAGAATACTTTTCCCATAACAAAAAAGAGAGTAATTTCACAGCTTTGACAAGTGTTTTGTGCTTTTGCAGCATCAGTCACTATGTCATTGTGATGTCAATGACCATCTTCCTCATGGTTCTCAGTGTGGTTACGCACATTCTCACCTCTCAAAGACTTGTTCTGTGGAGGAAGTCGAAAATGCACTACCCATAAACAACATGGTCAAATTTGTAGTACTGTTTTAAATAGTTTTATTGTTTGTTAGTTTTTTTTTTTTTCTACAAACACTGGATATTTAAGATATGTAGTTTTAAATAAAGGTATTACTGAGGTCACAATGTCAGACTGACTTGGACTGCTGTACACTGTAAGTCAATTTAATGATTAATAAATACATAATAACTAATCTCACCAGTTTAGCAGTAACATGAACCAGGAACTTGTGTGTTATCAAAGATGATCAAATTTATGACTTTATGATTGTACAGTGTGTGTTAACTTCCGTGTCTTTAGTTTATGTGGACATTTTAGACTATACAAAAATTAATATTACACAGTAGTCAGTGTTGGGAAGGTGACTTTTAAAATGTATTCCTCTACAGATTACAGATTACATACCCCAAAATGTAGTTTGTAACGTAATCCATTAAATTACTTTAGGTGAGTAATGTAATCTGAATACTTTGGATTACTTGATATTGTCATGGTTTTTAAAACAACATGAATGAAGCAACCACATCCTGAAAATTCTTGTTTGTTCTCTTCAAATTGTCTGTTGAGCCCAAGTCCCAATGAATAAGCAACTGTTTGCTGTAGAGAAGCAAAGACCAGGAAATCTTAACATAAGATGTTTTGTTTTGTCTGTTAAAAGACAATAAAAAGTCCAGTCTTTACTTTACCATATTAAAAATATTATGGATGAAGAAATTATTTTTTATATAAGATCACTGTTGCCTTAAATTATGTCCACTCTACTGTTAGGTGTCATTGTTTAGACCTGGTTTAGTGCTGATTTAGTCCTGGTTTTAGACCTGGTTTTAGTCCTAGTTTTAGTCCTAGTTTAGTCCTCAATTTAGTCCTGCTTTTAGACCTGGTTTAGTCCTGGTTTAGTGCTGATTTAGTCCTGGTTTTAGACCTGGTTTTAGTCCTAGTTTAGTCCTCAATTTAGTCCTGATTTAGTCCTGCTTTTAGACCTGGTTTAGTCCTGGTTTTAGTCCTAGTTTTAGTCCTAGTTTAGTCCTCAATTTAGTCCTGCTTTTAGACCTGGTTTAGTCCTGGTTTTAGACCTGGTTTTAGTCCTAGTTTAGTCCTGGATTTAGTCCGGTTTTAGTCCTGCTTTTAGTCCTGGTTTAGTCCTGGTTTAGTCCTGGTTTAGCCAAAATGTGAAAACAGGAAAATACCGCCCTGTAATCCATTTATTTCAACAAAGTAACTGTAATCCAATTACCACACATTGAAACAGTAACTGTAACTGAATACAGTTACTCATAATTTGTACTCTGATAACGTAATCCCGGTACATGTAATCTGTTACTCCCCAACACTGACAGTAGTGCAATGAATCCAAAGCTGTAGTAAGTAGTAAGTAAGGTAAAGTAAAGGCTTAAGTATACCTATCCCATTACAAGTTTTACATTTAAATTTTTTCAACATATTCTGAATGGCTGTTGCAGAACTACACATGTTCATATTGTGTTCAAAAGATGTTTTCATAATGACACTGAATATATATGATAAACTTAAACTTGAAGTGATCAAGTGACTAAAAATAATGAAGTGACAACATCAGTTACAACCACATCCTTTTTACATCTCACGCACTGTTTTTTTTTTAACAACTAACAGTTACTTACATACTTGCAATGGCAATAAAACTGATACTTGCAAATACACACACAACATCATTCATATTATATGTTAAAGTGATTTGCTTATAGTTCTATAGAAATGTCTCATGCATGTTGGTATGTTTTATCTACTCAGTCCACTCATGTGGCAAAAGGAATGAGGAAGAGGTTGGCCCATTGTCAGTGAAATCACCTCCTGTTTTGTATAGAGGACAGTTGACAAACGCGTACTGCCCAAATGCAAAACTGAAGCTTTAGACGCAGACTACAGACACCAACCCCTTCACGATGCTGCACTGTTGAGATTTGAATCTGTGAACTATTTAAGATGGGAGCCGTATATTTATCACACTTCTGACAATGAACAGATAAAGTAAAGGATTCCTACTCTTTTCTGCAAGGAACAATTCTAAAGGTATATCAGCTCTACTACTTCTACTGCTGCTGCTTATGCTACTGCTACTACTACTACTAAATGTATGCGACTATTTATATACAAAATGCATATGATATCGCATATTGATTGTCTTTTAAGTTACATCTAAAAGAGAGATCATATAACTCCTCTTTTAGCTTCACTTTATTGGTTACCTGTACACTTTAGTGTGTAGAAATGATTTTTAAATTGTATTAATTTATAAAGCACAAAATGACCAAGACTATAATAATAATAATAATAATAATAATGCTATTATTACTGTTTTTTTTTATTATTAACATTGCAGTTTCCAATCCACATTTTTTGAATATCTACATTATTTATATGCTGTCTTATGGTGACAAATCCTATATTATGGACCTATATTAGGCTCTTTTTAAAATCTATAATATAATGTTGTTTCCTCATCAAAAGCAGCTGTGTTTTGTTTCATTGGCACATTTTACACACAAATCCTGCATATTTAGTTCTTCTCTCAAATGGAAAACAGGAAGTGCTCCACTGTGTTTCTAAACTCCATAAACCTTAATTAAAATCATTTGGATAATTTCAGCCCTGGAATTGCCAATCTCTACTAAACTAAGGGTAAACGATAGCTGTTAACTTGAAAACTAGAGCTACGTGACATCACAAGGTGGAACAGAATATTTTGAGCTTTGGAGATGTAGACAAACTAATAATAAAGGATTACTCAAATATGTGTGAACAACTGTATGTTTTTGAGGAGGTAACAACATTCTTACATGTCTTAAAGATCACAAGAATCCATTTTGAGTAATATAGGACCTTTAAAGATGACATTATTTTGTATACCTCATTTGAGTAATTAGTTTAAATGTTGGATGGGAATCTGCAAATTATGCTTTACTGTATTTTCTGATATAATTCAAAGGCTAACTTCATGTTTTTGTGTTATGCATTTTAAGAGGGATACAAACACACTTCAGACCACAATGTACACGAATGTCTCTCTAAACTCCACGGCTGTGCCTGATGAGTTCCACAATGTTCTTCTGGGCATCTACAGCTGTGTTTTCATCAGTGGGTTGATATGTTTCATCTTGACCGTGCAAGTTTTGAAGCCTTCTACCACCTCCCTCACCTCCATCGCTGTCTTTAACCTCATATTTACACATTTCGTCTTCCTCCTTACGGTTCCCTTCAGGATCTACTACTACTACACTCATCAATGGAAGCTGGGCCTAGACTGGTGCAAAGTGATCAGCAGCATGATTCACGTTCATATGTACATGTCATTTATTTTCTATGTTATCATCTTAATCTCACGACTCTTGAGTTTCTACAACAAAGCAGAGAATATGCCTTCAATTCGGAGGCTGCATGGTCTCTTGGTCAGTGCTGCCGTATGGATAATAGTGTTGGTTAGTGCCCCTTGTGTAGTATCTTCATTCTATGGTACGAAAGCACAAGGTAAAAAAGGCAATGAAACATGTTTCACCTTTGGGGAAGATATTGAACCAACTACAGCCAAAGTATTTAACTATATTGTTAGCACATTTATTATAGTGGCTACCACTGTGCTAACTGTCCTGCAAGCAAAGGTCTTACTGGATTTGTACAAGAAGGTTGGAGATAAGTGCACATTGCAGCAAGAGTTTGGTGCTCAGCTGAAAAGTTTGTGTTTTGCCCTCATCATGGTGGCTTCCTTCATCCCCTACCATATTTTCAGACTATACTACATAGAGCATCTCAATCTGGAGAACGTCAATGAAGTGTTCCTGAGCCTCACGACTTTCAACTGTTTGGACGCACTCACCTTCCTGGGGAGAAGAACATGTTTTGGGTGCTATTTCTGTAAAGGACTAAGCTAGTAGCTAACTAGCTGTTTTTTTGTTTGTGTTTTTTTGTTGTTGTTTTTTTTTTTTTTTTCATGTGTAGCTTTACAGTCCCTTTAAAGCTACCATTTATAATTACATTGGTCAACCCAGCCCTAACACATACCACTAGATGCTATGTATGTGCCAGCTTTGGCCTGGCAGAAGAAGCCCAGAGAGGGCCAAGTGAGGGAAGGGGGTCTAAATAGATTTAAATAGACTTACAGGTGGTAGCTTTGAAGGTCCTATATTAACATTGACCCTTGTGAGCTTTGAACCATGTTAGAATGAAGTTTCTTCATCAAAAACATACCTGGAGTTGTGTTCGTTTCATTCACGCATATTTGAGTAACTATTATTTGTCTGTCTACATCTCCACAGCTTATAATGCTCTGTTCCACCTTGTGATGTCATGTGGTGGTACTTTTCAAGTTAACAGCCATTTGGCTTTTGTTTAGTAGAGACTGGCAATTCCAGGGCTGAAATTATTCAAATGATTTTTAGTGAAGGTGTATGGAGTTAAAGTAAAAACACAGTGGAGCACTTCCTGTATTGCCACATGACATCACAAGGTGGAAGTGTTTTCTGTTTGAGAAAAGAACTCTTAAACATGCAGGGTTTGTGTGAAAAACATGTGAATGAAACAAAACACAACTCTGGGTATGTTTTTTATGAGGAAACAATATTATAACATAGACATAACATAGACTGGTTCTCTTCACATGACGATCAAATAGGAGGAGTGGGTCAGAAAAAGTGTTGAGTTGGTGATAGTAAGAGAGGTTGGCATGACTATGAAATGTACTTTGAATGTCTGTGCACCTATAATACTGCAAATATAATTCATTCCTATGTTCTGATTATTAAATAAATGTATTGATATATTATTACATCTTTGTTTGGTCTGTAAATTCAAATGTGTGACCATGTTGATAAAGAATTGAGTGTAATCCCTCTCACTCATCTAGATATGTGGGTACTTTTAAAATCAATTTTCAAACATAAGCCAATTTTCTTAGTATAACTTCTAGTCATAAAGAGGAAGTACAAAAAGGAAGTGCCTGTTTTGAATAGACAGATAACATAGCTTACCCAGTGAAAATAGTGTTAATTAAAGGTCTGTAGTCTAGGTTATTCACATAAACAAATGTTCACATATTTCAGTTTGAGTAATTATACTAATCATGTTTGTTTCCACTAGTTGTAAGTATCCATTTAAACCTGTTTTAACAGCGATTTAAAGAAATGATAGCTCACTTATCTAATTAGTTTGTGTGTCTTTGGTGCCATCTTCTGGTTAGAGATTGTACTGCAATCTGATTAACTGATGGGCATCACAAATAAAATGTATATATAAATATATATATTTATTAGTTTTTGTTTTGAGGTGTTGTATTTTTGACTACTGAAAGCACCATAGTTAGATTATTACCAAAAGCCAAGAATGCGAAGTGAAATAATTGTCTAACTCATAACTTCTTGTTATTTCACTGTAAAACATTACCTTAGTTGAGTCCTTCCTTCACTCACGTTAGCTCCCACAGCACACCCTCACCTGCCGTGCCTTTTCCCTTTGGTTTTATGGCAGCGGGTTACTGTTTAACGCATCCCCACCCAGCGCTGAGTTTGTTTAGTAAATCGATCTAATGACGGGGCTATGGTTGGCGCCATCAAATGTGTCGCAGCATGAATTATAGACCACTCACTTCTCCCAACATTTCCTTTCAATGCTCTTGCACACCTTTCGCACTCCCTGATTTTCAATGCTTGTTAGATAGACTTTTGTTGCGCTAAACCGTTCCCACCCAGGGCGCAATTCTTTGGCTACACTTGGATTTTAAATGCACATAACAGAAGAAAACAGGCGCAAAGGTAAGACCACTTCTATCACATTTCACCATTTGGTTTTAGAAGGCTGTTTTTTGTTTTGTTTTGTTTGTTGTTTTTACTAAAGTGGTCTGCGAAGTCACGTGATTTCAATAGACCTTGGTCTTTCAGTGCTTAATTTGTCGTGATGAGGTCTGACTTGAACCTGGGGTAATCTTCTCCGTAGGCCATGCGCGTGTCGAACCTCGCTTGTAAGATTTTGTAAGTAGTAATGAGCCAGTGTTCTCACCTCTCGTCGTGCACAGACAGCATTTTAAAAGTGATAAGATGTCACGCAGACAAAGCTATAAAGATCATGTGATAGCGCGATGCGTTTCAGTTTTACGGACAGTGACTTCACTTCACAAGAAATGTGTCGATAACAGGAGGAAGGCAAAGCATTGTATTGACAAAGCATTATTATAGATATTCAAACTACTGAATGGCCAAAAAGTTCACTGTACCAAAGGAGGGATTTTTTATTTTTTTTTATTGTTAGGTCATCAGTAGAATATGTTCTTTTGTGTGACCTGTGTTTCACCTTAGAGAAGCCCAATAGCAGATCTTCCAATCAGCCTCCCTTCTCTATATTACTGAGTGTCACATTACTTAGGCCTACGCAAGTTACACACTGAAGTTGTTTGTAGTTTTGGCCGAGTTGGTTTCTGTTTTATTTTTGGATTTAGAGCAACGTTATTGTTAGTGTGCTTATTGTGATGGAAAAAAACCAATAGATCTCCCTATGACCGTAACATTTGGGTCTGTATGAGTTCTCACATGTTGTTTAAACAGATGTATCAGTAAGGCCTCTAGTGGGCAGTTCACACACGGTTTGTCAGGACTGGGTTTATGAGGCTCAAAGCTTTCTGTTGCTAGGAGGCTTCCTCATCACCTGTCACATGATTCAATTTGTGTTCTGCTAGAAATGTAAGAGCTAGGGTCAACATTAGCATAATTAATACTGACCTCATGTTAACCTTAATCTTGTCATGGTAATGTCTTGATGTAAATCCACTTGGTTTTAGAAGCGCACATTATGATAGGTCAAATAACAAAGACAAGATGTACTTCAAATATACACATTTTTGAAAATGATTCAACAAAAAGTTATTCACTTACTGAAAATATTTCTAATTCTGGGTACAACTTGTGCAAATGCATATCAAACTGAGCCTCTATAATATAAACTTAGCTTACTACTTTAAAACACAATTTATAATGTCTAAAGCACAAATTTATTGAAACATGTTCCTCAAATAATTACAATAAAAAGTTCTGGAACTTAGAAAATACAAATTTAAGTATACTGGCCCTGAGCCAAAAGTAGGATGCACCGATATGATACTGTATCATAACGGTGCATCCTACTTTTGGCTCAGATATCAGCGCCGATTTTGGAAATTTTGATGGCTAGGATATCGGTTCAGTCAACATCTCATTTTGGATGTTTACTGGCTAATGTGGGTGAAAACACCTCATAAAAATTAACTTGTATTTTTCAAAGGTGTTCTGTGATTAATTTATTAATACAAAACATATTTGGATATTTTTTACCATACGCAGTTTGTGTTTAAATAAAATAATATTTTCAGTCTCTGCCCTAGTATCGGCAGGTATCAGGTATCACCAGATATCTAGAGTCAAAGTATCAACATCGGTATCAGAGCAGAAAAAGCTGAATCCCCCTAATCAAAAGTAACCAAGTTTCAGAATGTTAATCTGATTCTGTAAATAGATTCACTGTTCAAAATGTTCTTAGTGACTGTATGAAGTTATTCTGTCCAAACACAGGTGATGTGTCAGGAGTAAGGCCTGGTTAAACTATAATCTCTTTATTTTAATCTTTAATACACAAAAAATACCAACATAACATTTAAAAGTAATTACATTTTAATGCTCATATCATCCCCATAATGAGTTTTAATGTACTCATACTCTCACTGCACCATAAGTGATAGCATTATCTTAGCACATGCTCTGAGCACACCTTTTGTGATTGGCTGATACAGACCATCAAATCTCCTATAGTGCAACCTCTTATCATTTACAGCCTCCTCCAACACAATGCAGTGAGGTGATTACCTTTAAGCCTCACAATAAGATTTAGTGCAGTGACACCGGGGCTGTGATGGGGACATTTTAACTGGTTTCTGCTCGTAAATTAGGCTTTTTATGGCTCTGCGAACACTGAGGAGGCAACTAGCTGGCAGCAGTTTCACTTGTTTACTTGATCGTCCTTTAGATGGGCTCTACCTCACATCTCACTGCAGTTAACATTTTTACAATCCAATCAGCTACAAACCCAATTTTACGTAAAATAAAAAAGTTAGGACACTGTATGAAATTTAAGGTGTAAAAAAGTATAGCACGTCTCATATTTTATTTAATATTTTATGGATCATTACAGTTTTAGTCTTATATTTTTTATATTATTTATACTTTTTGTAGCTCCTGCCCAACTACTGAGATATTTTCTCGCCATTTGTGTAAAAAATCCACTGTAAATAAATATACAACTTTTCTGCACCAGTATAGTAACAGTACCACAATTATTTTTACCATCATAAACTACTACTACTACTACTACTACTACTACTTACTATTACTATTACTATTACTATTACTATTACTATTACTGCTACTACTAAGGCTTTCAAATCTTTTACTGAATATAGCATAGTGTCATAGTTTCAAACAGCAATACTGAATACCCCACAAGGATAAGTCTAGGCTAAAAAGTAAGACTCCTGATTAAGACAAAGTAAGTACAAGTACATTGTAGTAAGCTGTGACTCCAAGAATTATGTTTGAGGAAGAGTTAATGGAAGTTATCAGTGTTTTCCACTTCACTCTGTGTCTTTATAGATTGTATCTGCAGAGGTAGTGCTGCTATCACTCCACTATTGATTAGATTAGGAGGCCCAGGGCACTCTGACAACAGCATGCATTTTGATTGTCTTAAAGAACCCTCTGTTATTCTTGCTACGAACACAATACTTGAAAAATGTCACAATATAGTAAATTTGATCATAAATACAAGTAATTTAGCAAAAATGATTAGAACAAATCAGAATAGAATCATAGCTGTTTATCTATCTGCGTGATAAGGGAGTAGAAGGACAAGATAAGTAACCTGCAATAAGGCAAGAAGTCTTAACCATAGCCCCACCCACTCTCCATTTTTCAGCCAATCAGACACATTTATAGATATTTTATACCAGGTGTCTCCTCAGGTATGTCTGTATCAATTACAATAGGCTGAGCCCCAGTGGAAAATAGATGGAAATGTAATAAAAAGGAGTGATTGTAAGGAAAGAGGAAGATAGTGAGAGACTGAACTAGGAATGAAGTATCCTCCTGTTCCTCAGAGTAGATCTCTGTTAGAAATGGAAGTAGCAAACTATTGTGAAGGCCTGGACCCCTCATACAGCACACTGGGATTTGAGAATGCAGAGGTTCTCTATGGAGGAGGTAAGATGCCGACAGAATATTTACTACTTTTTTGACACTTTTTGGCTCAGATATTGTAGAGTTTTACTAACTTTATAGACTACTCCAGTTTAGTTTGTAACCCCATTGCCAATCATTTACAATAGATTACACGTAGTTATGGGGTAATGATACTTATTGATGTCCAATTTGTGAGGAGACATGCACATATCAATTCAAAACATACATTGTATTTTATTGAAGTGGTGAGTTGTATGGTTGTATCACAGTGTGTTGTCGAAATCAATGACTTTATGACATCACTATCCTATTTCTTCAATATACTGTATGTTATTCAGGTATTTGTTCACCTCTGCATGCATCGCCAAGCCCATAATAAGCCTTATCATAACAGATTTGAGGAGTGTCTAATGAAGAAATGTTATATTTTTGTTATGTTATTATTATTGTTATTAAAATAGTAACTTAAAATCTTGACTATTGAGACTCATTTTGATATACGCATGCATATTTCTGACACCTTGCAGTTCTATTATCTTTATGTATGAATATTAACATTGCTTGGATGTGTGTGTTGCAGACAGCATGCCTACAGAGCTGGGGGTGCCTGGTGCAGACGGGATGAGCAGTAACTGTGCCATATGTGGAGACAAGGCCACAGGCAAACACTATGGGGCCTCCAGCTGTGATGGCTGCAAGGGCTTCTTCAGGAGGTCCATACGCAAGAGTCACATCTACACCTGCAGGTACACAAGACTCTTAATGGGATTATACACTGTCAAATATACTGCTACATTACAAGCTATGCACAAGTTATCCATGGGTTTCAGAATAATGTTTCCGTAGCTATTAATTTAAAAAGTATTTGAATGGTAATATTCTCAAAATGTTGCCTTTAACAGGAAGCTGTAACCCATGAATACATAGCCTTGAGATACAATGATTCTAAAGTAAATATGGAAATGAAATATAATAATTGTCCAGTATTAATCAGGAATAAATACACATTTCTTTTAGCAAGATTATTATACAAAATATGAATTAATTTGTACTGTCCATGACTCAGTTGTGTTTATTAATGTAGAAAATGTGTATGTTAAGCTGTATGTTGTAATGCCAGGTTAGTTATATAAGCAATCAGTGATTAATAATGTCAGAGTTAGTTAACTGCAAGTGCTAGTCAAGCTATTGAATCCTATCTGTGCTACAAATGCCATTTTAATTGTGTACATTTTATCACATATGAGCTGTCTGTAAAGCCATATACAGTAGTGTTACCTGTATGTCCCTTTATAGGTTCAACCGACAGTGCATTGTGGACAAAGATAAGAGGAACCAATGCCGTTTCTGCAGACTTAACAAATGCTTCAGGGCTGGAATGAAGAAAGAAGGTAGAGGAAGTCAAACATGAAGTTATTATTGGAGATCTAGGAGTGGTTCTTTATTCAAAAGGGTGTTGTCAGGGAATCTCAAATCTGCTTTAAGATGCCTGAAAAATGTTGGTCATAAAAGTTCCTGAGTGCTGCCCATTTATGATGGGTATAACCTTGGCACATGGTTTTATGGAGCCTAATCATGGGTTATTTAAACATGTTGTTCAAGATTGTCACTGGTTAACGTTTGACAGATGTAAAACTCTTCTATAGATCTGGTGCCTGCATGATGTCATGTTTTAAACCTAGTTACTGTACAATAACTAAGCACTTTTAACACTATATATAGGATTTTATTGTTGCTTCTGATAACTAGAATAAAGATAGGATGTTTGTGAGTGATTATCATATCATTATGTTGTGTTGTTTACAGCTGTACAGAATGAAAGAGATCGGATAAGCTCAAGAAGAACTATCCAAGATCAATCACAAGACCTTCCACCTATAACTATTCTGGCTCAAGCTGAATCACTATCGCAACAGGTACTTAAGCAAGCATATTATTGACTCACGCTTCACTGGAAAATACAGACCATACTCAGTGGGAAGAATACTTGAATAAATGTATTTAGTTACAGAATACTGAATACCTGCATTAACATGTATTTTGTAACATATTCTGATACATGTGCCAATCAGAGTACACTATTCTGTATACTTTTAGACTGAGCTGCATTATATTATAGAGAAAAAAACATGACATATAATTTCAAACAGCTTGATTTTTCTTGCACTCTTTGTTATGCATTCATTTATGTCTTATTACAGAAGGAAAACTGCACATACACGCATTGTAAGAGCAGTGTTTTCTTTTTTTCTTACTAATACTATGCAAGCCAATATTGTGTGATGAAGTACTGCTAAGTATTCCTTTGATTAAAAAATCTCAGTTACAGTGCAGTACAGTTAAATTCAGAATTAGTATTCAGAATACATATTTTTGATACATGTATTTACTCCCCAACACTTGCCATACTAGGAAAGACTAATATCATTCACATTTATATTATAATAATAAGATAATAATAGGATAAATATCTCTAAAAAAATAAATGATTTAATGTCATGATAAGGAAAATGCCAGTGGAAAAAGTCTAGTAGTGCTTGTATTAATGCTCAGTATCTTTGCACGTATCCAAAAACACTAAAATTTGATAATACTAAAATGAAGTGAAATGGTCTGACTGACTAGGGATGGGCATTCGATTAAATTTTCTTAATCGATCGTCGGAAGAATTAACGATCGATTATCGACTAATCATTAACGTGTTTATATTAAAATTATCATCATTATTATTACTATCTGCACTACTAACCTGCATACATAAATTCAACTTTACGACATATAAACCGTAACGACTCTAGAGCCACATCAATCCGTTTGACATTATAATGTGTTTAACGCAGTTTTGCGCAACTCTCACAAAAACGAAACTTAAAACCGCATCGCTAATTTGCAAAAACTCAGCGAAGATAAAACTACAGCTCTTGTGTCGCTGATGCGGTCAACTTCTGTTGGATTAAAAGACATTATTCAGTGGAATACAGTTAAGTGTGACCATATTTGCGTTTGTCAAAACCAGGACACAGTACGAGAGGTGGGAGGTTGGGACTCGTCTTTGACATTGCGCGACTCTCACCTGGCAAAGCTTTTTCCCACTGGACACCGAAACATATGTGCTGCTTTGTACACTGTGCACATGGACGCACACTTGTCCCGAACGCAACGGAAAGCGTGGAATTTCTTGTACAAGTCATCGTTAAATACGCATTTGCGTTGCAGACTGACCTACTGTTTGTGTCTCGCTCCTTCTGAGTGCAAAGAGCTACATGTACGGACCCCTGTTTGGTCACGCTACGCACAGCAACCTACATTCGGTTTGTCGATTAAAATGAACGTAATCGATGAAATTCTTTATGATCAATTATCGATTAATCGATTAATCATGCCCATCCCTATGACTGACAATTACCTTTGAACTACAACTAACAAACAGAGACCTCTATCTTGCAGATCACAGCTCCAGTGGTCCTGGGGGACTTGGCAGAGCAGAAGTCAGCCTCAGTTTCAGATGTATGTGACTCTATGAGGCAGCAGCTCTTGGTGTTGGTGGAGTGGGCAAAATACATTCCTGCATTTGGTGAATTACCTTTGGATGACCAGGTGAATTTGACACCATCTCCTGTTTTCTCACTGGCTTCTTGACCCTGAAGGTTAATGTATGTCTATGTTGTTGATTCTAGGTTAGCCTCCTCAGAGCCCATGCGGGGGAACACCTCTTGCTTGGGGTCGCCAAGAGGTCAATGCCGTTCAAGGACTTTCTGCTCTTAGGTATGTGCTGGTGGTTGAATACTGTATTATTTGTATGAGCTCTGAGTCAGGTGGCTCTGCACTGAAGTGTGAAAACTGATGAAGTGTTTTGCTAGCGGGGAATGATTAACCTAAAGTTTCAGTTTCACCGCAACTTCAAAAGTTTATTGTGTAAAATGCATGACTCATTTCTCTGCTTCATTCTGTGGATAGAACTGATGACCACAAACATTGGCACATACATAGACAAAGTATGTTTTTTTTTTTAGCTGTGAATGCGATGGAATCTGTATTTTAACATCTACTTCTGAAAAATGGGAAGTACTGTTGCAGAAGTAGAAATCGTAGTATTGCATCGTAGTTCATAGTTATTGTAGTTATCTTTGTTACATAAATTACATGACTGATGCAGATTAACTTTTAAATTCAAGGCCTAATGACCAACATGTTTTCTATCATCAACTAGGGACTAAAAAATTGATCAATCACAATTTCCAATTTGATTAGATTTTATCTTATTATATTCTGGTAGAGGGCCCGTCACCTGCTTGACTCCATGTATGTTTAATAATAATAATTTAACCTTCTCCATGGCAACAAGTTAGGTCATATCACCAGGCCAAGTTACAGGATTTATCTGTGGAGAGGTGGGCTCGCTCACAGTAAATATACATGTTTTTGCAGTAGCTTTGAAGAAACAAGTAAAAAAAAAACATAAATGCCAATGATTAACACAAAGTCAAATTTTATTCTCTAAGCAGAACATGAAGTTTCCAAACTACATGTTTTTACTGATTGTTTATCTCATAATTAAAGAAGAGGTATATCATTGACAATTATAAATGTTTGAATCTCAGTCTTGTTTAAAAAAGTGTATTAATTGCTCAGCCCTATGTTAAAGTGTCAGCGTAGTAACCAGTGGAATGTGTTCCTGCAGGTAACGGGTGCGTGATTCACAGAAACAGTCCAGAGGCAGAGATTTCTCGAGTGGCCAATCGAGTCCTGGATGAGTTGGTTCAGCCTTTCCAAGATATTCAGATTGATGAAAACGAATATGCCGCACTTAAAGCTATTGTCTTCTTTGACCCAGGTAATACCATTGAACAAACAGTATACATTTGTTACAGCCATGTTATTTTGATCCTTCAAAGATTACATTACAATATGTTTAAAGTGTATATCTATAGGCCTTATTGCCAAAACATAAATTCTTAAACTCCTTTGTGATTTCAGTGTAGACTCCTTATTTGCCAGGATTTCAAAGTGTTTAGTACTATCTGTACCTGCCTGCCTTTTTCATATTGTCGAAGTGTGACCGTTTACCATTTAACTTTACATTGTATTTTCCATTACTTTAGGCATCAGCCTGGATTACTTTTTCATTGCTGTTGATCCTTTCTTATTTCCTATAATATAACCTATTGTTTTCTAATCTGCAGATGCAAAGTCTTTAAGGGACCCATCCAAAATCAAGGCCATGAGACTGCAGGTAAAAATCCACCACCAACAGTATATCTACCTTTTTCTGCTGGTCAGAATGTTATGTGTTATGTTAATAGATATCTATTTGATAAAAGTGCATTGTGTAACTTTTCTGGTGGAGGGTGCATCAAATGCTTATTGCTTTGTCTGGAAAGTTTCACAATATAGTATTAAACCTTTCTATCTTCACGGAGTCCAAACCAGACCAAATTACAGGTCTGATCTGCAGAGAGGCAACCCCGCTCACAGTTAGAATGCCTGTTTTTCTAGTTAGTTTGAGCTATAAAACCACCTGTAATTTAATGTAAGGGAGAGCTGTTTAATGTTAGACTGTGGAACATTCCAGGCGAAGCAAACAAGCAGGTGATGGACCACAACCAAAAGTTACATAGTGCATTTTTTACATTATACATGCAATATTGTCTATTCTGATACTATCATATATCATGTATTTATTTTTAATACCAAGTAGAATTAATGTCTTCAATTATTTATACTGTGCTGTAGTTGTTTTTATTGACATGAGCCAGTCTTGAATTACAGTAAACTTGCATCACCTGCTTTCAGTTCAACTCTGTTTGAGAAATACTGACCACTGCAAACTGGGAACACCCCTCCAGAGCTGCACTGGTCTGATCGATTTGTCTACGCATCACAATTTGGCACATGTAAAAACTTGTTACAATTCAACATATGTTAACATTGAGGACAAAATGTTCTTTGACCGTCCAATACATACAGGTTACAGTAAGACATGAAATCACTGGTTATAATACTATGCTATCGCAATATATTTGAACATGTTTTAGTTTTTAGCCTTAAAAAGCATCAACATAATACATAACAGATATCCAGTATCCTAACTCCTCGCCAGAATCCCTTGATTAACTAAGTAGTAAGCCTGAATCCTTCTTAATAATAATAACTCTGCTCTGAACCAGTGATATTATTATATTTATCTAACTTATGCTCCCTTTGCACATATGGCGTACTTGTATTATTGTTTAACTGTTGCCACTTTTCTAGATACGGATGTGTGGATGTGAATGAATGAGCTGAATCACAGTCAAAAAAAAAATTACCTGCTGGTTACCAATAAAGTAACCTTTTGAACCATTATAAACTCTTTCTTCATCATGAATTGAGCATTTGTTCATGCTTTGTTAAGGCAGATTATGGTGTAGTTATAACAAAGTGGTACAAAAATATGTATTTTTATACTGTTGTGTGTGCCAAGTTGTTCTGGCACAAAACATTCTGCAAGACTAATCAATTTGCCTGAGAAAATAAGAAAGACCTAAACTAGTTTTGTAGGTAGTTGTATATTTTAGACACAATCTAAACATTGTATTTGTGTCTAGGTCCAGATGAGCCTGGAAGACTACATTAATGACCGCCAGTACGACTCCAGAGGTCGCTTTGGGGAGCTGTTACTGCTGCTGCCCACCGTACAGAGCATCACGTGGCAGATGATCGAACAGCTTCAGTTCATTAAGCTCTGTGGCCTAGCCAAGATAGACAACCTTCTGCAGGAGATGCTGCTGGGAGGTGAGCCCGCTGTCTCTGACCTCTCCAAATATGGCCGACCTTCAGCAGCACACCCACGGCTAATGACCGCCACGGTGATTGACATGAAAACGGACAAGGCCAAAGCAGACAACCACCAACTAACTGTGCTTTGGATACTGTATTGGAAGAGATAGCACACAATAATACAATTGCTTTTCACATTTTGTTGATGTATAGGTAAATCGTATAGTTACTGGCTACTGTACTGTACTGAAACTCAGATTATTTATTTATTTATTTATTTATTTGAAGAAAATATACTTACTCTAATTACATTAAATTAAGCACTGGATTACACAGATGCCCGATACTATTCTTCCTGAGTGAGAAGTATACAGTAATTTTAACCTGCATAGTCAATTTATAGGCCCAATAGGTCTAAAAGAATGGAGGTAATGATACATCATTTAGAATTAATTATAAACACATTTAAAATGGTTTAGTATACACTGGATTCAAGAGGACATTTTGTTTTATACTTTGGTACAAAACTTTATTTACGCTATACAACTTATCATGATTTATCATGTAATGCATACTTCCTGTTTGTTTTCAGGGTTTACGACAGAATCGGCCCACCTGCACCACCCCACTCACACCCAGCTGGCACAGGACCCTGTGACGGGACACACTCTGGTCATCAGTGCTATGCCTGTAACACACTCTGCACAGCTAGGTAAGAGATTAACCATTAAAGTCATGCACTATGCATGTGCTGACTGGCAACTGGGCAGAAATGGCAAGCTATATGTATACACTTGATTAGCTTTTCTTCCTTGAATTTCACTGACATTTTATTAAATACAGAACTTGAATAACTGAAGTTTATTTTGTGCTACTCTCATCACACAAAGGTTTAAAAAAGACCTTAAGCAAGTAATATAGAAATGTTTAATTTACTACCATAATGAAAGTTGATAGAAGTATGATTTATTCTGTGCAATATTAAAAACTAAATGGCATAAAACAACAGTGTATCTTGAAAAATCATACAGCTTCCAGTAACGAACACAAAAAACATTTGAATTCTCAACAGTAATTTAAACATAATATCATAATGGATAATAATGGATGGATAAATACAGTAGTTAGAACTGTAGTGTAAAGGTGAATTTGTGGCAACTTTTTAACACCAATAATAACAAACTTGACTATTTTACTTTTCCATCTGTCATTAAAGGTACACTGTTTTTGTATTTCAGCCTCTCCGGACACGCCCATCCCCTCTCCTCCGCAGGGTCCGACTACTGCAGAGATGTACAAGCCCTTCTCCGCGCCCCTCTGTCCCCCCACCAGCCCCTCCCCCTCCGCTCAGCCCGACTCCTGACTTCTTCTCTGCTCTCTGCCAACGCGCTGATATTTCCCCCTCTCATTTATCATCCCAGTCATGGTGGAAAATGATGAAAGTAAAGCGTGTTTGGAGAGTGCGGTCAGGGGTCGTAATGCAGCGACTCCCATCAGGCGCACAACAATAAGTAAAATGTAATTAAAGCCGCTATGTGTAGCAATCTCCCAACTTCAGCATGTCACTGTTTCAATGAGGGGGAATAATGGAACAGCTCACCAGGGTTTAACATAACAAGCTAGACATTTTTGTGGTCTCATTAACCTAAAACACTACTCTGTGTCTCGACTTTCCTCTCACAAAAGAGGTACACAGTAACTACTGATACTTTTACTTAAGTAATTTATTACATTTTGTAAGTGCATTAAAGAAGTTTATTGTTTAAACTTATGCAACTTATGACTTTAAGGAAACAAGATTACAACTTTTTTAGAGCATTTCACAATCTGTTTTTGATAGTCAGTGTAAGTAAAATGTGTTTTATCAAGTTTATTTTTGTTATTAATTTAATCAACAAATGTATTGGTGCATTTTTGCATTATAGTTATTATTTTAGTGCCTTAAATCCATGTAAAAAAAATCATATGTACATTTGAAAAGAGATGTTAATCAAAAGCTGTGTATATTGTATACTTTTTATTTAATTTAGTAATTTTTGTGTTTAGGGAATACAGCTATTGAACTGAGCCACATTTTTGTTGTGTACTTACAATCAGTTTGAAGAGTGTAGCTCCACTAACATAAACACACTGCCAAAATAATTTAACCAGGATTTTAAATATTTAAGTCAATTTATTTATTATCAATTTATTCATTTATCTCATTATTTTTGCTTTTATTGAGTAAAGTTTTGAATAAGTACAATATCTTGGAGCATCCTTCTTTTTTTGTTCATTGATTGTTAACAATTGTTTTGTTATTTTGTCCAAACATTGCAAATAGTGAGATCGAAAAAGAGATGTCCCTTTGCAATTTTCAACCAGTCAGACACCGAATCATTTTTAAATGCATTCTTTTTCCTCACATTCCTAAAATATCAACACAATTTTGACCAAAACAAAGTAAAATTGACAGATGCGTATTTCAATATGGCCTCCCCATTGGCAGTAATCCAGTGTGTGGTTTGTCTATTACTTTGTTTATGGAAGTCATCATGCTCCCTGTATTTCCACTGGTCCCAGATAGAGCGCTTGTATTGGCAGGCTATTGAGACGGCACGGCTGGATAATGCTGCTCATCTAAAATCAAAAGTAGCTTTGCCTACAACTGTATCTGTCCGATACAAAACGCCTCTAAACCTTTATGTATGGCTGTATGCTGGAAGTGAGCTTCAAAATTAGTGATTTTGTTTGCAACTCAGTGATATATGCAGCTGTGGATTGAACTGGGGGAATAAAACTGGGAGCTGTTATTGTCTGTATTATGTGTTTACGTAAAAACAATACAAGTTATTTTTGGAGGAAGAGGGTGGAAATGCGGCCGCAGCCAAATTTTCATTTCAACAACAACGAAAAAGGCTAGGGCCAAAAAAAACACCACCTGCAATTATGAGTGTATATGCAGTGTATGTCACAAAATTGTAAGTAAAAATGTGTATGCTGAAGCTATTACTACCACTGCTATATTATTGGAGCAAAAAGCAATGTAAACTTTGGGCAGTTGCATTCAGGAAGGGCATTTGGCATAAAGAATATCCATATCACAGCACATGTATGAGCAGATTCCACCTGTTCATGCTGCAATATCAGTGTTATGTTTACTAGTTCCATTCTGTTACTGTTGTCACTATACTACAACTTTAAGCAAACATTTTGAGAACATTTTTAACATAAAATTGTATGCCTAGTTTATTTAATGTTACAATGTTACACTAGATTTTTTTTCAGTGCTAGTTTTAATATTACTAAAGACATTGATTTTGTTGACAACCCAATTCTATAATACCACAAACCATGGAGAGAGTTTGATAAAGATGCTGCTGTTTTCTCTTGCATATTTCAAATGGTTTAGTAATCTGTAAAATAATACAATAACAAAAATTCACCCCAGTAAAACTACCCCTCTGAACTCTAACGTACACCCCTACCGTTCGAAAGTAGCTGTTTACACTGGCCCATTCAAACTGGGAGCTCTCACTTCTTTCTATATTTTGTTGTATGACTCAAACAATGCAGGTTATTTATGGAGGAGAGTGGATGTGCCGCTGTCTAGAATCAACATGGCCAAATCCTCACTATCAACACCATAATGGACCACAGAGCAGAGCGGGGTCAAAACAACAAGCACTCGCCAATGAAGAAGTATGTTTACAGGTTTATTCTGTATGTTTCTCTACCAGCAATTTATTTATAATCTTTAGGGGGGCTGTGTACATTCCTGGATATATATTTATATGTGTGTTTTGGGGCGCAGAGTACTTTAATCAAAGGTCCATAGTGAGGAGATGTGGGCTCGCTGTTTCTCTCTCAGCCTCAGATAAAACTGTGTGTTAGCATGCCAGTCACACATCTCATCTGAAACACGCTGGTCGGTATGATGCTGGCTGCACCTCTGGGGGGGTAGAGCAGAGGAGGAGGGGGCTCAAGGGGGGCAGACAGGACTGGGGAGGAAATATGGTTTTGAAAAAAAATTATGTTTAGAAAAAAATGTTCACCGTTGACCTGTGGAGCAACGCTTTAATTTGCACGTATCATTCAAATCCGTTATGGTCACTGGGCAGATTGATAATTTTATTTATCAATAGGCTATCATTATTTCAGAGATGGAGTCTACCCAACCATGAACAAGACTGAAGAAGGGAAGAGCCAACCTAATATTAAGCCTTGTAATCAGCATCTAATGATTTAAGAAAAAAGTTAAATAGAAATGTATTAACCAGTTACAATATGCTCTCATTTCAAATATAGAGGAGATAGTGTCCAGATGACAGCAACTATACGCGGTGTGTGTACATACTATATACAGACAGGCAGGTACGTCATGTTTAAAATAACAACCAATAAAAAACATGTACAATCATTTCATGTGAATATTTTCAGAAAAAAAAAAACAAACACAAAAAAAACAACAATATCCACCAATTGTCCATCTACACCTCCATGCTCATCTGAACATAGATGTCCACTAGATGGCACTACACGCCTGTGGTTATGCATCCCCTCAGTGGCTCTTATCAATTTCCGTTGCCCTTCCTATGTCATTTCAAGTGAAAATGAATTTGAAAAGTTAAATGTTAGTAAAAAATATATATTGGGATTCTGTATTAGCATAAGGGTCAACGTCATGGCTTGAATATATTAAACATTTGTTATCATTTTAGATGTGCTTTTCTTTCATGTTTTCACTTATATAAAACATCAAAAACAAATGCCATGAACTTTTTGGCATTTGTAACCGCCATTTCTTGCATTTCAACATACAAAATAATAAAGTTGGATAATGTATAGCCCAAAAATAGTGCAAAGAAGTTACACTTGTGCAATTTACTATATGGGAATATTGGCCAGGTCTGAAATGAATGGCATGTGTCAGCGATGCCAGATTAGTGCCGGAGATTGCCGACTATCATTCCTCACCAGTGCATTTACCCATAATTCCCCTCTGTCTCCCACATATCCGATGATTCCTCCTCCAGGAGACAAGGTGATGCTCTATGAATCTCTGCCTCCAACTCGGGAATGAATTTAAGACCTCTCCTGAGTGATTTTCTGTGTCTCCATCCCAGTCCTATATATGTGTGTGTATGTGTGTGTGTGTGTGTGTGTGTGTGTGTGTGTGTGTGTGTGTGTGTGTGTGTGTGTGTGTGTTAGAATACATGTGAGGCTCCTGCAGAATGGGTGAAGGGAAAATACAGTGACAGCTTCATTTCCAAAGCTGAGTTCACATAAATGAAGGATTAAAGGAAGCGCCATGCAGGTTAAGACTCACCTCGGCCTTCAGTGACATACTGCCTTAAAATCACTGTTTCTCCCCGTTTTCATAATCTCACTCGATCAAGTCATTTAAAACAAGAAGGAATTGGAATATCCTACAGAACAAAATATACTGCATATAAAAATACTTCATTTAAAATTGCATCTGCTCAAGTTATGGTCAAGTCTGACTTTTGTTGATTATTTTTTATTTAATGTCTTCTAAGACTTCAATGAGAAACATTATTGTATTGTCTTTCTCATTCACACACACTATTGAATGATCCTCAGTGTTTTGTTAGCATTCAAGATGAAACCAAAGTGAAGGAAATTATATTAAAGTACTCTTGTAGAACTATTGTAACATAAAAAAAAGAATCATAATGAAATATTTTATAGATCAAAGTATAAAGTATATAGTTTTATAGCCAATTTTAGGTAAATAAATAACAACTGTTAGATTTAAATAAGAACAAAATGACTTACTCTTACTCTGAAAGAACTAGGGTAGACAAATTTACATTTTTTTATAAAATTATTTTGTTATTTTATTTAAAAGAGATATTGTGATGGAACACAGGGCGCAAATAATTCCACATTAAAAATGTTAAAGATGCACTATGTTATTTTTCTAGTTGAGAGACTGTCATCTGCTTGTCTCCATGGAGATAAGAATATGTTCCACAGTATGGCATGGAGACAAGTGACGCCACCATGCCAAGTTACGCATCAGATTTAAGGAGATGTGACAACATTTAAAGCAAGCCAGTAACATCTTGTGAGGCAAGTGGCGGACACAGCAGAAAAGTTACATAGTGCACCTTTAACATCCTTAATTATTTGTACCCTGTTCCATTGCAATATCTCTTTTTAAGATCACATATAATATTATTCCAGTTTTAAGCTTCATATTTGCCAGCAGAGATAATAAACACATATGGAAACACATAGATGAAGCATATGCACCATTCCATAGAGTGAGCTCTGGTCCCTATCATTATAATGGGGACTGGGTTGGGGCAATAACATTAGGGGTTAGGCCCAGTCGAGGGTGTGTCTGCACAGTGGGGTACATTAGGAAAATGAGAAGGGGTGGACCACTCAGGACAGCAGGGGCTTGTTAGAATAAAAGAATATGTCTGAAATAAGGAGACAGAGAAGATGACAGGGTGGAAGATAAGATGAGAAAATGACCAAATGTCCACTGAGAGTAAACAAAGAGACTGGAATAGCCAGAAATGCGTATATCCAGTGTGAGGTAGCATTTTCTTTCATACAATATGAGTAGTAGTAGTAGTAGTACTCGAAAACGCAGTAGTAGTGGTGGTAGTAATAGAGTCAAGAAAATAAAACATGTATATGTTTATGTGGATCCACCTCAAGATTTTGAGATACTAGGGGTGTGCAAAAATATTGAAAAATCGATATATCGTATAATTTGTGATGTGATGATACAGTTGTACTGATATATCGCAAGAATATTTTTTGGTATATTTACTCAGTTATTTTGTTACAGCACTACAGTTGTTGCTTTTTTAGTGGAACGAAACTCATTTATGTGAAACATTTGACAAATTCACTGTTTTGATGATTAAAATGTGTGTGTTTCATATTAACTGTGCACAAGAGGTGGTTTAACAAAGACTTTTAGTGTCACAGACATGATTTAGCCTTTATTTTTTTAATGAATCATATTCGAAATATATTGTATCAAATCAAAAGTGCACTGTATCGAGGTATGTATCGTATCGTGGCTTATGTATCGAGGTATGTATCGTATCGTGGCTTATGTATCGAGGTATGTATCGTATCGTGGCTTATGTATCGAGGTATGTATCGTATCGTGGCGTATGTATCGAGGTATGTATCGTATCGTGGCTTATTTATCGAGGTATGTATTGTATCGGCAGCTTCTTAATGATACCCAGCCCTAACAAATACTAATAATAACTGTACTTCCAATGTAAAATAACCAGTTATAGTACCCTGAAATATGGTGAAATACAAAGTACGGTAAAAAAAAAAAAAAAAAAAAAAAAACGAAGTACAGTTTTGGTCAAGACTGGAACAAGTTTGTTAGCCTGTAGTTTTTGCACTACTCTCACAGTTGCAGTATATAAAGAGTGTCTTGTCTG